ATATATGGACATTTAGTGGTATATAGTCACAAAGGATGTGATGCAAAGAGATGGAAAGGAGTCAGGAAAAGGCATGTCAGGGGCACTACAAGTGGCTTTGTGCATTGAATTGAAGGTCCTTTGTGCCTCTGGAGTTTGTTGGAAGCAAGATGCTCAGCTGTGTGCATTTTCTCCATACTTTTTTTACAGTCCTATGTAGCTCACCACCACCATCATTCCTTCATATTACTATAGGCTCAATGCTTTCTGGTAAAGAATTTCAGAACCTCACCACCCCATTACCCTCCTTGCAGACATTCCTTCCCTTCCTGGCATCTATCTTGAGCATGATGTAGGGTAGCATCATGGCACTAGTCATTCAAAGACTCATGTGTGTTCACCCCCTCCTTCACAGGACACACCATTCTTGCATGAAGCCTTTCCTATCTGCCACTGCTGCCCCAAGCCACATTTGTCATGGCTGGGCATATCCAAGTAGGTTCCATGCTAGCACAGGCATCTTGCACTGACCACCATCATAAAGCTACATCACTTCTGCTGCATGTTGTCATCATCCTGTGCCATCCAGGTGCTTAATCAATGAGCCCAGTACATTGCCATGTGGCCATAGGTCTTTCAGCTGTCTGAAGTTGAGCCATTTACTATGAAACACATATAGGGAAAAGTGTCCTGGATTCATGGATGATACTAGCACAGGTCCAGCATTATCTTCAGATTGCTCCCAATGCAGAACAAACATGCATATGGTGCCTATGAAATGCCACTTCAATGTGACCCATTCATGCTCATCTATAACCTCTAACAACTGTTCTCCTGTTATGGACTCCTCAAATCATAGGGTGTTTGCTCCTCCTGATGTTGTACCCACTACCACTCTGAATTTAATTGGGTGACTTTGTCACCAGTATCACCCTCTGACAACTGCCTTCATGTTAACAATTCCTCAAATCATAGGATGCCCACCCCTCCTGACATTGTACTCACTGCCACTCTGGCAGGATTCCAATTCCAATCAAGCAGCCACATCACTGGTGTCTCCTTCTAAGCCATCATCATGGCCTCTGAAATGCATGAGGAAGGTTATCTGAAGTCAAAAGGAATGTGTTATCTTTTACAAGTTGAACACATCTGGGTCATCAGTTCATCCAGTCACAGAGCTAGGTGCATTACACAATTATCCCCTCTCCACCTTGGGGATCCCCTTCAGCTTATTATGCAGAACATGTCCTCCTTGCCCACACCAGGCTGGCACACTGTATCCTTACTGTCCCACTCCAATGGAGCAACACCATCTCTCATTGCCTAAGCCAGACAGATATCAGAGGGCTTCTGATGACTGGATTGGGTTTCCAGGCAGTTTTTTCATGCCAATGACATTGCAGACTTGTATCCCAACTTGTCTCAGGTGTGGGAAATTATTGGTGTGGTACAAGGTAATCAATCTTCCATCCAATCATGAGCCAGCTGCTTAGACCCATTACTTATAAGCTGGTCCTTTGTTTCTTAGAGGGCATGTTGCCAGATCCACAGCACATCTGCTTTGATCCCATCTGTCATAAAATTTCCCATGACTTTGATATGTGGACATGATGATACCAGTGGCAGAGGCATCAATCATACCTTTCACTGGCACATTTCAGCCTGACCTTGATTCAGCAATGGAGACACCTTTGAAGCCTTTGTGTTACTGTCCTTTGTCAATGCAATATAAATTACCCCTCTCACCTGAGCATGGCACTGCTCCCCCAACCACCACTCCAACATGATAAACAACAATGCTGAAGGAGTCAAGTCCATTCTCTCTCTGCAACTTACTTTGTCCCATGTCAAAAACCTCCTTGCTACATGGTGCCATGCTTGTGTCAGAGTGTCATATCCATGACTCTCAGACTCAATCCCAGTCCAGTCCAGACCCCTAGCCCCTATCTCCAGTCAGGTCTGGTCCTAGTCCAGCCTAGAAAACCCAACTCTGGCCCTAGATAACCCAACTCCAGCCTGAATAACTCAAGTCTGGTCATTTACCCCTATCTCTGGTCCATTCTGGCCTCCCAGCCTTGTGCTGCTCCACCCCAGTCCTCCCAGTTTCATGTCCAGGTCACCCAGACATAACTCCAGCTGTTTGTACTATGTTTAGTCTAGTCCCCTTTGCTGATCTTTGCTTACTGTACAAACCTGTGTCTGACTCTGGTTATGCCAGTCACCCAGACTTTAACTATTAGTCTTGGCACAGCCTCCATGGCTGTCCACTCCTTGCTAATCATCTCACTAATAGCTTATTAACAAGTCCCACTCTATGTTCATTACCCCAGACTGGCCTCATGTATTTAACCCATGTGCATACTTCATAGCACCTCAGTCAGAATATCAATCTAGTATTACCCTCAACCCCATACTACTCTCCAAGTCTACTCTATAGCTAAGGCTGAGCCTTAAGCTATCCCCAGCCCCTGTCCTGGACCCCTCCCTGGCTTGCATAAGGGTACAGCACACAAGCTGAGACCAAGGGAGGTAGATCCAACCCTGGACCAGCTTCCCCCTGTGCACACTCCATGACTGGCTGGTTTCCCACAGTCCCAGTCTTATTCCCATGCTCCCAGTCTTAAGTCTGGTCCTCCAGACTTAACCCCTGACCTCTGGCCCTAACTCTGGTCCAACCAGACTTGGCCCCTGTCTCCTGGCCTTGACTTTGGTCACCCAGTCTTGAAGCCTGGTCACCCAAGTGTAAACCTGTACTTAACACAGAGATAGGATTGAAGAGGTGCACAAGCAGCATCCCAAATAGAGAACCAGTATGCATGAGCATTTCTCTGAGGTGATCACTGATTTACTTCCAGGCAGTGTCACACACCAAAGGTGTTGTGGACATGGTTACAGTTGACTCTGCATAACTTGTCAACAAGTTGCACACCATGAATGCAGATGAAGACTAAAGCCCTCATGCATAGAAGGACTGCTGGACATGAGCAGTCATCCTTTGCACAAGAATGAGTCATCAGTGCTAGAGAGAAAAGAGGAAGCAAGTTAAGCACACATCAAAAGTTTTTAGTGCCTGTGTATGGCATTCCAGTTTTTGTCATATCTCCACCATTTCCAAAGATATCAACTCTGTTCTCACACTTGCTCAAAGTACTTGGCCATGCCATCCTGCCTTCTGATTTTGGAAAGGATCCTCACACCCTATGCATTTCTACAGCACTCCATCCATCAGATGCTCATTTCACTAAGTCCATCAGATATGGCTGCCTCTTCATCAATCATCTCTCTTGTCTCCTTTGCCAGAGACAGTGGCTATGTATATCTGCTAGGTGTTCCCACCAGCTTCTGTCCTGAAGCCCCCTGGTTTATTCCATCATTGTCAGCCCTGTCCTATCCCATGCAGTTTGGCCAGTGTGTTCTCCTTGTTAGTATGACTTCTAGAAGGATGTTCTTTGGTTGCCTCAGTTCTGCACTCAGCTACAATGGTCTTATGTGGTTGTTTCAGTCTCCCCACTTGATGAAGCATATGGATCCTTCCTCCCTGCTCCCTGCACCATCTTTATTCCAATCTTGTCCATCATTCTCCCCACATTGCAACAGCTGCAGTATAATCTGCTTTTCTCCAGCCTCCCCAATCACATCCATGATGAGTATGACATGCATCTTGCCTTTTTACTGCAAGACCCAGCAGAAGATGTCCCCCCTTCTCCCTCTCCTCCATTAGAACCCCATCCATGAAGCTTTTATTAACTTTGCTGAGAGGACAAACAGGTGGGAGATGCAATCACCTATGCTCCCATTACCCCACAGCATCTTCACCATGTTGCTGGAATGCTGCTGTGACAAGTTTGGCAACAGTAGCTTGGACACCTGATGTTTGATATGTTGTGACAGCCAACTTAAGGCCTGTCTGCCAATCACTATTGCATTTGTTGGCCTGCAACCAGAAGTATAAATATTCAAACACAAGAACAGAACCTGCAATTGTGGGCTATAGGTGTGAAATCATGACAGGATATCAATTACCAATGCCATGTTCTGCAATAAATTGCATTGAATGCTGTGGTGATGTGGCCAAGAGAGGCATTTGGACAGAAGATGAGGAATGTCAATAGTAGGCTATGATGTTGTCAAATCAAGTGATCTGTTCATGGCAGAATAAGGGAGGCAAAACTGACCACCTGAGAAATATGTCATGGGAGCATATCAAGTAATGTCAATGAGGAACAGGGCCACAAACCAACTACAAACATTATCAGTAAACCATCATATGAATTCCAAAAAAATGCACACATTCTGGACAAGGTATGTTAGCATGGGACATAATTGTGAATGATGATGACTGACATGCTGATAGAAGCAAATAGAGAAATAAGGGTCAAATTAAACCTCCATGAAAATGTGCACCTACATCCTGAAAAATTGTAAAATATGAATATGGCATAAATACATCAATGGAACTCACCATCTATATAATATCAGCAAGCTGTTCAATAACCTTAAATGAGAGTCACATTCTATGACCAAACATGGATCATTTTAAAGGGGGAATAGTGAGCAGACATCTAGCTAAAATCTGCTATAACTATGCTCACAAACTAGAAACCCAATATTGTATTGGCAGTGTAACCATGATGAGAATGCTTTCATGGGTAGCCATGACCCTACTCACATCCTATGAATGCAAGTCCAAAAGGGTGGGAGTGAACATGGTCAGAATGCTTCCACCACCTGCCATCACTCCACTCACTTCCTGTGAATACAAGTCCAAAAGGGTGGGAGTGAACATGGTCAGAATGCTTCCACCACCTGCCATCACTCCACTCACATCCTATGAATGCAAGTCCAAGTGGGTGCAGGTGAACATGGTCAGTATCCTGCCACAACCTGCTATGACTCCACTCACATGCTATGAATCCCAAGCCATAGTCATATCAGTATCCACTAAGTCAGATTTTTTGCAATTTCACACACTTTCTGTTCTCAAATCAGCATATCATCCATACCACTCACTATTTTCTTACATATGGAAACCAGCATGAGAGGATATATGAAAGGATTGTTGGTCCCATCTTGCCAACCCAAGTATTCATGCATTTCTTCAATGTCCTTGCACATATCAGTACATATTTATCCTTCTGCTTTCTCACTCACTTTCTTATTGCAAATTCCAAACACAGTCCCAGGTTTGACTGCTGTGATGATATGAGGAGCTGCTGCAGTCCTTCCTCACTTAAAGCATTTGCTGTGCATGTTAGTAGGGGTGTACACTCAGCACCCTCTTTGTCCATTCCTGCAGTCATTTTCTCTGAAACTGTGCCATTCTTGAGTGATGGTTAGGATACTCACCAGTGAGTGACAGATAGTCATGTGGTGGAAACCTCAACTCATTCAACCAACCCTTGACCTTTACAAGACACTCATTCAGGTTCCTTCTTTCTACCTCTGCAGCCTTTTCCACTGCATCATCTTCATCCAAACCATCATCAATGAGCTCCAGGAAAGCATCCAAGGCCAAGGTATCTGTTTTGTTAGCAAGACAATTACAGGAACTGTGACAGAAACATTGAAATTTAACACCATCAAACAGAGCACAGTCAATATACACACCATGTCCTGTATCACATTCATCAAAAAACTTCTTTTCTGCAGCTGTGATCATCCTGTGGCTATCATTCAAAGGAATGCAAAACCTAAATCCATCACAGAAACCATGTCACTTTGGTTAGGGTGTCGGACAGAGTCCATACCATATGGCATGAATTCTCTCATCAAGCTTGGTTGTCTTGGCACGATCCATCACAAATTCCTTCATCATGTCAAACTGCTCTTCACTTCCGGCCTCAAATCCACATGAGTCATGGAATACAAAGCGCGGATTACTCTTAAAAACCAGCTCATCCCCGACGTTGTGGTAGCCGCGCTGGATACATTCAACCCTTCAATATTTGCTGCAGAATATTCATCAAGTCACCTCACCATTAGCGAACCCTTCACTACAGTAGCGTCTACCTGAATACAGCCCGACACGTTGTTAATCTCAAACATATACAATGAAACATACACACCTTTCCCCCTTCTCCATTAAAAATTTCTGGTTCATCCGTAGTATTACAGACCCTCTGCAAGATTGTTGTTTTACCTGCATTGGCTCTTCCCATGACGAGAATGCGAAAGCGTTTGATGCGATCGATGTGCTCTCTAGCTTTCGCAGGATTCAAGCGAAACCTAGAGCGTGCGGAGGCTGACACTGATCATTGCTGCTCTTAGGCTTGTCCCCTTCACAAGTACAACGCTTACCCGTGGGTACTTCTTCTGTGTGTACGGGAACAGGAGTGTCCACACTTTCTTCCGGAGAACGTGGAATCGTGGGTTGCGCCTCGATCAGTGCAGGAGCAAGACCACCCGTACTGTTTGACGGAGAACCTTGCCAAGCAACTAAGTAAACTAAAGTACACCATAAAAAACGCGAGCAACCACCTTGAGCAGGGGCGGGAGCGGGAATGTTCACGTTGTTAGGGCTAGGGCCCGCAGGAGAACCTGGCGGAGTGTTTTCGACCGCTGTGGTAACACGAACACCCCCAATATTGACTGAGGGAGAGTCAGAGGCTTCGACAAGAACCTCAGTCAGTGCAGGGACGTGAATGTCTGTACTGGCTGGGGGCTGATCTGCTCCAACGGGAGAGGGAACTTGTGGAACAGCTGCATCGCCGCCCGGAGAAGGCGGCCGCCGAATACACCACAATGCCTTGAAGCATCCAGGAGCCATGAATTGAATGAAAAGCTGAAGTTCTTGGAATGTCGCAGAAGCAATAAGCGTACGGACGAGTGGAGAGGGCGCAGAGTTGCGGACTCCTGTTGCTGATCGCTATCAAGGCGCCTATCGATAACCAAGTACGATTGGTGGCGGCTTTTTCCGACAAGAAGTGTACACGTTCTGATTCAGAAAAGTCATGCCGACACCACTATTACATTCTTCAATCTATACTGCTCGGTTGCCTTGATTAAGTTTGTCGTGGGGAAAGACAAAACTAGTCATATTAGAGGTTGCAAGAGATCATATGTAAAGTGTGTAAGCGTGGCGAACGGCGAAGGAAAAAGAGAAATTAACATGCGATATTGGCAGGGTAATGCGTAAGAAACTACAATTAGAAGCGTCTAAGGAAATCCAAAGTCAATGGGATGGATGGAGAGAATTTGGATACATCCCGTGTATCCGGTCTAAGCGGAGTGAATAGGAAAGCTGCATAGAATACGAACAGTAAGAAACATTGTAGGGAAGATCATAACACGTCGCAAGGGCCATTCACATTCGGGCAATGCCAATCTCGATAAAACCTCTCCATTTCCACGAAGACAGGCGCTCGTCCGAATTGGCCTTTGGATCCATGAAACTGCGCAGAGGAAACCACGTTCAGGCGTACTCCGTCGTTTGCGTCCGTGGGCCATGGGTGTGGAGGCCGGTGAAGCTCCAACAACACTGCCTTCGAAATGGCGGCAAGTGACGAATTGCTCGCCGACGCAGAAGGCTCAACAGCGAGCGTCGTCCTGGGTAAAAATAACGGCGTGAATCGCGCAGGTGAGAGCGAGAGTCGTTCCCGGGTGCGCTGATAATCGTTTGGTCCAGGCCGTACTTTGTTGCTCACGAAGAGATACGAAGAATTGGGAGCGCTCTGCCCTTCCCCAGTTCCCTCGTCCTTGGCGTCCCCCATCGAGCCCACGTCCTTAATACAAATGGTCGGCGCAAGCCGCATCTCCTCACCCCCAGAGCGAGTAACAATTATATCCTGTCGGTTGCTCTCGCCGTCGAAGTTACTCTTTCTGCGTCTATCTCCACGCCACGGCTCCGCAATCCCAATCTTCCCCTACCTTCCAGACAAGCTAACGCATCCATTCTACCCCGCATTCTGGCCGATGAGGTGATGCTCTCTGAGCACGCAGGCAAAGACGCGCGAAAAGCGGTGGCGAGAGCAACGACGAATCGTACTCGACAAGAGGGACTGAGTGGGATGTGCGGCGATGCGAAGATCGGGGCGGATGAGGTATTGAGACAAGTACGTTCAGAAACGACGTATACAAGGATGTAGAGGACGCAAGCGAGAGATACGGATGCAATAGCTGCACCAGTCCAGGGCGTGATGGGCTCGGAGGTGCCGTCCTCCTTCCCTTCTGCATTGGCAAGGGGGAAGGACTCGGCGAAGGAGAAGGTGGTTGCGACTCTGCACTTGGAGGGTTGTTGGGTAGTAAAGTCATACCTGCTGATGAGGACCCTACCGGAGGGTCTGGGAGTGCCGTCGATGGCACCGGCTTCGGGGAGGGTATATTTCGCAAGACTTTCGTGAAGGTCACAGGGACGCGACTGGCCCAGCAAGCTTCTGAGGGAGAGGAGGAACACGCTCAGGGGTGAATGTGATATGCCTCTCACGACGGCTGTGCAGGTACGGCAACACGAGTATGCAACATGGATCATGAGGACGTACAAATCACCGTTCAGCTCTGAGGTTCAGAACGTCCAGCTGGTCGATCGTGACAACGTGGAAGTTGTCCGCTTGTTAGAAGTCTGTTGACGACTACATTGGGTCTGAACCGCCGTGGAACTGGCAGAGCTGCTTGCGAGATTCGAAATACAAAAATGACTTCAACTCGAGTCCGCAGTGTAAAGTGACAGGCAGATGGCTCGTCGTCGATATCGTCGAGGGTACAGTGTTTGGGGATGTATGCAAGAGATCCAAGTGAAAAAAGGAGAGTAGCCAGAGGGCAGGCACCGGTGGACATTGCATAGCGAGTGCCTCTTGAAAGGAAGAGAAGCTGAGGGACTGGACCCCATTCAAGACGGAACAAGACACCGAAGCTTCATCATTAAACCCCACGCTCCACGTACCAGAATTAACGACAGGCGTTGGTCCCATTAGCCCGTGATGGATGAAGTTGGTCAAGCAGAGCTGCCGAGGGCCAGAGAATCCAGATTGAAGAGCGGTCACGTGGCATGGCGACGGAGGCTCCGTACCGGCTATTCCGGGCTGAGCTGCCCTCCCCCCCGAGTGTATACCAGACCTGGGACGGGTCGTCGCCCACTTTGGGTTAAGGGCAACTCCCATCGTTGCTAGTCCTACGGGTAGCCACCTAACTGGCTCAGGATAGGCGGCGGATGAGGCAATGGGGCAATGGAGCAATGGGGCCCCCTGATGAGAGCTTGCGCAGGCTCGAAACCGCCGCACTCTCCCTCCCCCTTACCTACCTCTATTCCTTCTGCATACGGCCCAGGGTGACTGACAGAAGTAATATGTAGATAGACGGCCCTGATACCTCCCCACCCAACTTTACCAAGCCTTCTATCGACGACTTGCCTCCTAGACATGTCTAGCTGGTGACCAGACTAACATGTCCATGCATTGACGGGATATGCCTGGCATTATGCAGGGCCACTGGCCTCGTCAGCAGTAAGGACGCATCAAAACCCATTTGACCATGCGTTCGCAATGCGGTTCGCCCAATCTGCAAGTATCAATTATTAAGGATCTACGTAAAATGCCTGGGCGGTAGAATGTCGGACCTTTGTCTTTGTGTTATCACCATGCGGCTTCAGGCGCGCGAGAGCTTTGTCGATGTTCTTATTGTTGGAGCTGGTCCTGCTGGTCTGATGTGCGGCAATGCCCTCGCTGCTGCGGGTGACATCAAGGTCAAGATCATTGACCGAAGGTATGTACGTCTAGGTTCAAAGATGGTTTACAAGTTACACCATTATATACATACGCTAACTGTTACCCAGGCCGTCAAAGATATCTGTTGGCCATGCAGATGGAATTCAACCGAGGACGATCGAGGTTCTACAAGTGAGCTCACGCTGCGCCGGTCTACCTACTGGGATTCACGAAGGTCTTCCAGAGCTACGGCCTTGCCGAACGACTGCTACGTGAGGGAAGTCAATTGCACATGGTTGTACGTCATGCAGCTTCCCCTCCGAGCGTCCTCCGTCTAGACTCTGTCAAATAGGCTTTCTACAATCCGAATCAGACTGGCGGGATTGAGGTAAATGGCGCTTATTTCTACCACAGGTGGGAGAGGGCTTACGACATCCTCGCAGTTCACGGCTCGTGGTTCTGATGTGGTACCGACTGCGCGTTTCCCATTCAAGGTGTGCTACCTGATGTGTATTGATGCGTCTAGTAAATTCCTGCGGCCCTAGATTGGGTTACACCAAGGTGCCGTAGAAAGTGCATTCATTGACTCAATGGCACACCACAACTTAAGAGTGGACCGGCCCGTTGAACCGCTAGCCATTGAATTTTCGCGAGATCAAGAACAGCTCCGTAGCTTGTCCTCGTACCCAGTCAAGGTTCACATTCCAGGTGTATGCGCTAGTAGGACCACACTTAAACTATAAATTTACAGGTAACGCTCGCACACTTGGATGCAACCACCGATGCAGACAAGTTGGAGGTTGTCCACGCTAAATACGTTGTCGGTACAGATGGTAAGCAACTCTCATAGGTACTGCGCCGTGCACTATGGCAGACATGATTGCGTTCTTTGAATTGAAGGGGCACATTCGTGGGTTCGAAAAGCATTCGGAATTACCATGGATGGGGATCAGACAAGTAACTGCTCGCTCCTGTTCCCGTCTCATATTAAATGGCCTAAAGAATATCGCATAGATGATGTATGGGGTGTGGTTGACATGGTCCCGGATACCAATTTTCCGGACATACGACACAAAGCGGTGATACATTCCATAAACGGTTCACTTATGTCCATTCCACGTGAAAATGACAAGGTACGGTTGTACGTTCAACTGTCGGAGAAGGATGTCGTGGATCCGGGAACTGGAAGGGTTAACAAAGACAAGTCGAGTCCTGAGAAAATTCTCGAGGTGAGAATGGAGCTCCCCCCTAACTCATGTTAAGTTTTTGAGTCTCGCGAAGGTTGCAAGAAAAACGCTACATCCCTTTTACATATCTCCGTTGTCAGACATAGAATGGTGGACAATGTACCTGAGTCCGTTCTCTGACACTCGCGATCGATAGTCAGTGCCTTACGATGGGTTGGATAGTCGGGCAGCGCGTAGCATCTAGATTTTCGGTCGAAGATCGTGTGTTCATTGCTGGAGATGCATGTCACACACATTCGCCTAAAGCAGGTTCGTGCAGCAGTGTGTGAGGTCGACTTGTCAGCTACTTACATATTCAAAGGCCAAGGGATGAATGCAAGCATGAACGATACTCACAACCTTGGTGCGTTTACAAATTACCTCTGCGTAAGATCAGCTTTGATCGTCGCTTCTCAGCGTGGAAACTTGTTCAGGTCCTCAGGGGGTGGGCATATCCGTCAATTCTAAGAACTGTATGCATATTAATCACTCGACGTACACGGGCCTCCTGCTTACCGTGACTTTGCAGTACGAGTCAGAGAGGAGAAAGTACGCCATAGACTTGATCGACTTCGATAAACGACTTTCAGCGTTGTTCTCCGGTAAGCCGAGGACCTCAGATAACGAAGACGGCGTATCCCATCAAGAGTTCCTCAAGTGCGTAAATTGACCTCCTGTAGAACGCTGCCTGAGCCAACGAGGTTCCTATGTACCTCTTCCACAGGGCAATCGAGACTGCCAGTGGTTTCGCGTGTGGCACAAGCGTACACTACGGTCCTTCTATGATCGTTAACGCCAAGCATCAGTATTGTGCAGAGAATCTCCTCGTTGGGCAGCGCATGCTCCCTCAAGTCTTCGTCCATGCAGCAGATGCGCGACCGGTGGACATTCACGATTTGTTACCCGCCGATACGCGGTTTAAGATCCTCGTTTTTCTCGGGTCCATGGAGGAGGAATCCAGAGTCGTAGAAATCAATGCCCTGGCTGACGAGTTGAGTTCGCCCACTGGGCTCTTGCGGAAATATTCGATGGGTGGCCGGACTTCTTCGCCCATGTTTGACCTCATAACCATCGTGGCGGGTAAGAAAGAGAAGTTTAATTACCTGCGTGTTCCTCTGGTTTTTCGGCCTCATTGGTCCAAGTGAGTTCTAAGATAATTTCACTGGAGTGTAAGACTTATATGTATGTTTACCTTCAGAGTCTTGCTCGATGATACCGATGTCACTGGGAGAAAGGGAGGTGGTGCCTACGAGAGGTTTGGCATCAGTTCCAAGTCGGTTACCTTTGTGATTGTGAGACCAGATGGATATGTTGGGATGGTGGCACCGGCTGCTGCTATGGGGGACGTGCATAAATACTTTGCATCGTTCTTGCTTCCCCGTCACTGGGTTTCGAGACTTTGATTTGATGATATTGGGTTGTTATAGGTGTCGTGTATTTCCGGATGTTCTATAGGCAACGATGATTAGCTGTAAGAATATAAGTCCGTGAGTAGTGAAACTGTAATCTGCATAAACCAGACCCTACCTAGCGTTTCGTGTGCCACGTGGGAGTCCCGCCGAGTAACTCAACACGTTCCCGCCGCTCGTCCCACCAACCTGTCTGGTCGACCATGCCAGAAACTCTGCGCGGAGCTCACACAACGCGCGAATACTTACCCTCGTGCGATGTGGACCATATTGTTGATGTTGCGTTGTACCTCCGCCGAGTCGCTTCGGATATTGGTGGACGAGCTCGAATTCGCTGATGCTGTTTGTGCGTTCATAGAGGCGCAAAAGAGGAAAACCGTGGGACTCCGCAGCGAATCTATCGATACGGAACGGCAAGGACTTCGACTGCCACCGGGCACCACGCTCGCGACATGTCGTGTATCAGGATAACTTTCCCGAATGTCGCATCTTTGATATATCCTGAGCCACCTGAACTCCACTCTACCCTGCTCCCCTTCAGTCACTTTCGTACGACAGGACAGGGAATTGATCCTGTCGTCCTGGGGATTCCAACGTTCGTATATTCCCACCCAGCTGTCGTTCGTTGTCAATGTCAAGTCGTGAAAATTTCCAGCGATATGGTTAAGTGGACGAGAGGTCGAATTACAAAGTACACTGTGACTGTCGCCTGCTGCGCCATCGCCGTTCTGCTCACTGCATTCCCCACCTTGCTCGGACGGCCACGTGTATACTTACAGGTGTTCTCCGTCGTCATTTTCTCTCCGCCGAAAGACCAAAACGTATTCCCGGTTACTTACAACAGCAGACCCATTTTCTTTCTGGAAAAGCACACGTACACGAGCGATGGCCTCCTAATCGTCAACCCCAACGGTCCACACCCGATTTTTGAGCTTATGCAAAATGCGGAGGCATCGTGGAATTCCAAGCTTGCAGGTGCAAGTAAGACTTTGGCAGAGGCCGTCATGGAGTGTAGACAGCGCTACAAGCGCGCATCCGCTGGGATTCGATAAGTGGTAAGAAAATAATGGATATGTGGTTGTCAGCTTCGGGTTGATGGTTCTTTGGTCTTCTGTGTAGGTGGGAGTACGTGATCAAGCACAACGACCAACTTCCGGACGAGTATGACGAGATTTATCGTGACCTCGAGCCGTATCGGGGACCCCCGTAAGAAAATCACTGCAAGCTACGGGAACGAGCTGCTGTATATATGCGTTGTGCACTATTCTCGCAATGGTCTGAGGTGGGTTCCGTGACGGTTTGTTTAAAGAACCAGGTGACAAAGACCGTTTAGACCACCAATCTACTTGTTCTCTGATACAGAGGAAGAACTAAAATATCTGGAAGACAAAGGCCTACGCAAGGCACGCATCGATCTCTTGGCGTCGTTGGGGAGGTTTGTCGAGGTCGCCGAGGTTCACCTTCTTAGCCTTGGACAGCCGTACGATGCTATCCGAACTCTCCTTGAGCACCAAGACAACCATCCCGGCGCGATGCAACGTGCTGCGGATATTGCCCTAGATACTCTACGGCGGGAGTGTTCCTTTGATACGGCGGTCCACGACATCCTGCGGAGCAAGGAATCCGATTCTCATAAGGTACTGAACTGCATAAAAGACGTTCCGCTTGCGCCTTTGAAGCTCACAGACAGCAGAGAAGTAGATTCAGTAGAATGCAGCAAGGTGCAAAGGCTGGCAGTATTCCCTAGATCCACTTATTCCGTACAGTCCAGAAATCTCCGTCTGCTAAGGAGATCTATCCACTAGGAGAGGATTTCTCTGACCAGAAAGAAAATGCCATGGCACTCATGGCATTCGACGTCTTCTACTCACGGATGCTAACACTTTACTCCGTACACCCTTCAAATTTTGGTAAATTCCTGAGGCACTTTGAAAGATATGTTCGCCTTTTAATTTCCATTGTGTCTGGCGACATTCCTTTTCGGGCTACCGACTCTCAAGTGCGGAAAGTCCTCGGCATCGTTCTATCGTCCGTCATCACTATTCGATCACAGCGGGGACATTTCTACGCAGGAGTTTCACACAGAATTGACATTTGTCAGCAGACGTTGACCTGTTGAATGCCCGGTTGAAAGAACATCTACGCCAAAAAGTCGTTGGAGAAAACAACGTTGGACTTCCTCGCCTCGATGCCCGTTCGCCGTTGTGCACGATCGTCGCTGCCACACAACGCACTGTAATCATCAACATTTGCGGAGAACGTCGTTAAATGCAGCATTGTACAACATGAAGGTCAACCTGCGTCTGCAACAAATACACATTTTAGACTTGATGTTTGCCGTTGTAGGAGGATATAAAGACTGGCACTCCAAATGAATATGGCTGCAACGACCTCAGCCAACCGTTGCCGTTCACCTACTTCACCCAGCATGACAGCCGGGTTACGTCGCCTGTATGCAGCTTTATACTGTCCAATTTATGTTGAAGGTTCCATCGCCAACCTCGACTAGAACTCCATCCGGAATGCTGCGGAATGCATCAGCGTTGCTCGGAAATGGATTCAAAAGACAATTGAATACCTGGAGCCTACTGGTGATCCGGCAAACGATGGCGACTATTTGATGAACACCATTCGTCTTACTCGTCTCCATAAGGCGCTTGGTGGAGAATTTCAGCTACAGGAATGTCTTGCGGAGTGAACGTTGTCCTATATCCTATCGCACAGAAGATTAGACAGCGGTCGGAGATGATGACGGGTAGTGCCGCGCGCGCTGAGTACTTCCGGGGAAAGATTCCTACATGACTACAAGTACAGATACAAGGGGCATGCAAGAGTCGTAGCAGTACGTAGTTGCAATTGCGCATTCAGCTTTTACGGGTGTTACCTCATGTCTTGAGTCCCAACGTTTCACTGAACTCGGGGTGGGCATGCCTCCCCAACATCACATTGTACAACCTACTCGCCACACATACATGGTCGCACAAGTTACCAATACCGAAGCCCACAAACTGATCATCCATCTCATCGACATTTTGAGTTCCCCATATGCTGGGATCCTGTCCAAGACTGACCACTGCCAGGAACTTGTACTTCTCAATTGCCTCACATGCTGGACTCATAGTTTTTTAGCCACTAACATCAGTCCATATTCACTAATCTACATGCCAGTACAGAAATATTGCAGGAAAATGACACATGAACATTCGGTACAATCCCTTCACACGCGAACTGCTTTCGCAACATACCTATGGAAAATCAGAAGATCAGTAAATGGGTTTGATGACAAGATGGTAAAACATACGGCTCTTCCAAGTAGCTGATTTCCTCCGGGGTCAACGTGAATTCCCTGATGACGCTCTCCTGAACACGGGAAACGGAGTTTGCGCCGACGATGGGGCTCGTCACCTTAGCCTGGCTCCACGCCAGGGCGACCTGCGACATCTTCCATCCTTTCTTTTGCGCGAGCTCGTTGACGCGGTTGACGATCGCCGTATCGGCATCCGAGTATACCATTTTGAAGGGGGTTTGCTCGAGCGCTTTGCTTCTCGTCGTTCTAGCACCAGGAAGACGCGCGAGGGCGCCAGCCGCAAGTGGTGACCACGGGATGAGACCGATTCCATGGTACTTGCAGTACGCGTGCATTTCACGCTCCTTGTATGATACGGTACAATGAGTACCGCCGCTCGACATACAGCGAATCACATACCCCCTCCCGGTACAGCAGAGAATGCTCGTCTTGCATGCTGACAAACTTGGTCCAGCCGTGCTTCTCGGCGACTTCGTTTAGAAGCGCAAATTGCCAGCAGCGCATGGAGCTGGCCCCGATGTAGCGAGCCTTTCCGCTCTGGACGATATCGTGTAGTGCTTTCATTGTTTCTTCTGGGGGTACTTCGGGGTCGAAGCGGTGGATCTGCAGGAGATCGATGTACGAGGTACCGAGGCGTTCGAGGCATCCTTCAACGGCGTTGAAGATGGCAGTCCGTGAGAGACCACCCTGGTTGACGTAGCGCCGCTGTTTTGACAGATCTGGAATGAGGTAGGTGTGGACGCCAGGGTCCTCGGACACGAGGCTGAATACCTTCGTGGCAAGGACGACCTGGGAACGAGGAATGTTGTACTGGACAACAAGCCGTGAGTAACAGAGTTTCGCGTGGCGCCATGCCAGTGCCATACCTTCTTGATGAAAGTCCCAAGGACGCGCTCGGACTCGCCATTGGAGTACACATTTGCGGTATCAAACGTGTTGATACCTTGATCCCAGGCCGCTTTCAAGATCTCAAGAGACGCGTCCTCGTTAAGAATCCAAGGCTGGAGTGGAGGTGATAAGAGAAGTAGTTTCTTCAAGTAATATGCTAACGTTTTACGCACGCCCCATTGCTCTTCAGATCCGAAGGACATGCAGCCCATCTGCATAGGAATCGTACGTCAGACCAGCAAACCGATGAGTGGTAGATGGATGTCGATGTACTGACGATAGGAACTGAGACTCTGAGGCCCGACTTGCCGAGCTGGCGGTACTCTACATTGGAGTTTGCCATGGCGGTCGTGGTGGTGGTGTTGGTTAATACGGTGGAAGGGGATGTGGGTGAACGTGCTTATGTACTGCCCAGAAGCCATACCACATATTGTATGAAGTGCCGTACAGCAACTGGCCAGAAGACTACCCTACTTGGGAGTATTATCAGATTCGTTAATTCGAGGAAATCGAACGAACTGGCTCACGAGAAAGCTTTGGGATCATTGAGTCGACATCAGCGGTTAGTTCTATGGGCTAATCCATCAAACCTTCTTGCAGGGCCGTGGCTAGATCATTAGTAAACCACCCTCAGCCCACGCGTTGTCCGTGATGCGCGTCGGAGTCTATGAATAGCGCAGCATAATGACTATCATGAAGGATTCTCCCAGGTTCATCGATGTTTTGGTTGTTGTTTCATCTCCACTGCATGCTCAACGTTGACTAATGATAAGTAACAGTCTGTCGCTGCGCTTCATCTCGTGAGCCTGACTCGTACAGTACGACTCATTTCCTTCGTTCTCATTCCTATATCTGATGTTACCGTCTTATATACGAGGAAAAGGGGATCGTTCAATCATTGGGCCTATTTGTGTATGCTTGCCACGGTGATCATGTGGGGGTTCTGGTCCCTGTGTTGGAGGTTTCCTACCTTCGAAACCGGAGCAAGCATAAGAGACCGCGGTGTAGGATATGTAGTTGCAATCCACACATGCATTAGGTCACTTTTTCATTGCGGTTCAGGGTTGCCTGGGAGGCGGCTTCAAACCTCAGGCTTCTGCTTCGGTATCTATGTGGATTTCTGCGAACTCGAAGGCTGGCTCCTGGTTTTGGCGGCCATGATCCTCCCTCACCTTCAATACCCTAGGGTCTTACAGAACTTATAAGACAAGTTGTCCGCAAACCTTGTCTGCCCATTCGATAAAACACATCGATCCGAAAGGGATCTTGTCAGGCATCCCCACGCAAATTCTTGTCTCTGGATTCTACCGTTTTCATTTTTACCCACACCCTGCACCTCCCTTACCCTGCATCACAATACACGTTTTCTTTTTCGGGTGCCAGAGTTGTGTGCAGCTGATGAGATCACCAGGTTCGTCAGCACGCTCCGTCCTCCGCGCTCGTGAAGACGCTTTGCCATCTCCCTGTGGCCTCATGACCCTCATAACTATCCTATCTACAATGATCCCTTTCATGGTCCACGTCAACATACAGCTTGTCCGACGCCGCTGAACACTTCAGAAGATGCGTAGCAACCCCATCATATTCACTGTCCAATGCAGTCATGAAACTGTTTTCTCTACTTCTTCCCCATCACCACGAAATCTTTGGATGCCATGCCCTGTTCTCTATCTTGGTGACCCTAGCGAGGATCCGCTTCATTTGTCAAATCTTCAGTTGAGGCATGCAGCAAAATGATTTAGGCTGTCCGCGCTGCAAGATTTTGTTGCCCGCCGCGAGCAAATCGCTCAATAATTTGTTTGATTCTTGTGGAATGCTCCCGATTAAGCCCTTCATAATAAATAACCATGTTGGCAACACCCAAAATTCCAATCACAACCTGATGCTATGGATGGCAATCCTGACCAACTGACCCGTTCGACTGACATGAGGACCTCATACGTGGTACTGCGCAGAATCATTTCTCTGCATCTGCAGTGCGAGGGTTATATCGGTCTTCTGAAGGATTAATGGCTCCAAGGACTTACCTCGAAGCTTTCCTCACGCGCCTTCGTTGACCCCATGGTAAAATTAACCTTTCGTCGAGTAGTGAGATGCGAGGGTGGGCATATGACAAGAGGTGATACGTACAAGTGTGCGGCTTAATCCACTAGATGTTTTCAACCTGGGATTTGAGGGTGCACTTGGAACCTGGTATGGTTCTCCCGCGTCAGTGCTGCTCACGAATCGACGGACGTTGAGGCTAGCGAGAAGCATATTGCAGTACAGCGTGCACAGCGGGAAATAGAACCCGCTAAACACTAGGTCTTGCGGGAGTGTTACCAACTGGATATTGTCGTTGGTGGAACTATTGTGCGAAGAACACGAGCACTTACTAGTATAACCGCGAGCAACCCAAAGAGAGCCGTCCAGATTCCAGTGTTAACAGAGACGATGATCAGCCGAAGGAGCATGCGATCTGTCCTGAAGAACACCTCAACACGTAGAAAAATAGCAGGGTAAAGATACCTACCTCCCGCTGAAACCAGTACGTCCCATAGCGAGGAGCACGCACAACATGATTGCAATGGTAATGTCAACTGCTGCTGCAGTTCCATTGGACGCATTGGCGACTGTCTGAAAGCGATTTCGTGAGTGTGTTGAGAAAATGAGCTATGGATATGCTCCATACTGTAAGAAGGGGTCCAGATACAGCTTCAATGGCTGGGGTGATCAATCCTTTCACTGTGTAATCTGATGGTGTCAACGATCAGATTATTCTGAACGCATCGTGATCGTGAAGCTCACTAACAAATGCTCAGAACTGTAACATCGCGGGAGTTAACCAAGTAGGTGCAGTGAAGGAAAGTTGTGCATACCCGGTTGGGCAGTGACAAAGGGCATCAAAATGAGTGGAATAATCCACTTGAAATGGCCCGTGCTCACTGAATAAGGATATTTGTCAACGCAGCAGATAACTGGCTGTGCCAGTACGTACATGACCATATCCTCCATATGAAGAAAGATTGGACAACGAAAGAAACCAACGACTATAATTATGTAATAAGATCGCTCCACTCGTCCATGGAACAATCAAGTACTCACTGTAACCACCGTAGCCAACAACAAAGGACTAAGGCAGTACGTTAGCACTTTCCAGGCGAAAAAGAAGACAACTTGATGGTTGATACGCACGGGTGCATCACCGCGAGGTTGGCAAAATCCCCATAGTACTGAACAAGATATGACCACACTGCACGGAATTTCAGGTGAGATCTCATTTCAACACCACCCAGGCGGACTTACGGCCAGCACAAGCCAAGAACTGGTGTAGCGTGTCTAGTAATAGCACGACAGCAACCTACCGACCGTATGCTCAACTATCAATAGAAAATCTGAAAGATCGATCAGACGAACCAGTAATTTCAGTGGTGTCCGGTCTTTCGGATACCTATTGCAATGCCAGACGATCCAAGTAGTCAGTAGACATAACCAACTCATACAAGGAGTACATACTGCACATAGTAGATGAAGCTAAACATACAGGGATCAGTGAATGAAATCGATTCGATTCGTGCAGGTAGCAAGCAGTACATACGTTTGCAGGATGCTGACACCGTAAAGTATCAACGAAGCGAATGTCCCCGCAAGCAGCGAACCCCAGCTGAGGCTAAGGTCGATACTGGCCGTTGGAACAGCGGTGGACATCTTGACGAGGGGAAAGTGGAAAGCAGGGAAGCGACGTGTCGGGCAGTCCCGTGCTAGGGTCTTATCCGCATTCGAAACATCTCCGATTTATGTACAGCATCAGTGGTATCGAGCTAATGCAGCTACCACTTCTGGCAATATGTCCATCGCTGTCCAACATAGCCTCGACTACTGATCATGGGAAATCCTGATACTGACTTACATACCTCATTCCAAATATTCTCGTCATTCCCTTCCGGGAATAGCGGGATGTCGCAGTCCTGTACCTCAAACTGGTCACTAGAAGGATTGCACAGGCCTTGATGCCATAGGAAGCACGAGCACGACTCGTTCACGGGCCAAACAGCTTGACACTTTTCGAGAATCACTTGGTGGCATATGGGCGCGATACCCAAATGTCACACGCACCATTGCCGGCACGGAACTGCAAACCGAACAGTTTAGTCGACTCCCCCTTGAAAAGGCTCGTACATGTAGTACACGGCCTAAACGGCTCAAGCGACATCTGCAAAACTACCCGAGGGAGTGAGCAGGTTATACCTGCCTCCGTTTGGAAGTGACTTGTCGTAAGACTCGCTAAGACACTTGTTGGCCAATGAGAGAGCTCGCTCAAGTGCGGAAGAGCTGTTAACAGCCGCGTCGCGTAGCTGTTTCCCAGATGGACATACGCAACCAGAATGGGATACTCGAACCCCCCGAATGATACCCACGACACGGCGCCTCGAACTAGAATGGCTTTGGAAGGCTCACCTGCATCTGCTCCCCAACGGCAGGCTTCTTTCCGATGATATGATCAATCTCCTTCAAAATCGTAGACTAGTGGCTCGGTTTCCGAATCTTGATCCGAAGGTAAGGCCCGGTGCTGCATTTGGTCCACAAACTCGCTTATCGTCATGTTCCCTTCCACAGTTGATGGCATCAATCGATTGAATTGTCTGCCGGCGAGGTCCTACATAATGTTGTGGGTGAATGCTGTGTGCGGGCGCAACTCGCCGCGATGGTGAACCGCATTGAATCGAAGTGGCTAAGCGAGCCAATTCGATTCTATTTTTCGGATGACGTAACAAGGTGAGTTCAGGAAAGTTCGCGAGGTGACAAAGCCCTAGGTGCCATCTATCGATGCGGCAGCCAGGACTGGCAGTTCATCAAGCCAGAAACCGTGCAATCTGCTGTTGGTGAGGTCCAGCATGTCTTGCACCATGTATATCTCATTTGCCTTCTCCGTGGCTGGGACCCTCACACTTTGAGTGTACGGATGGAAGTTTCATGACGTGCTCAAGGTCCTCGTTTAAATTTGGTGCGGTGTGAACTGTGCGCATTGCGGGCAGGCCTCAGCGTGATCACCCTCGCATGTAACCTCGTCCATCTAGTGGTACTAAATAACCTTGTGTGGCTCATGTACGTACTTGAGCATCTGCTGGATTTCATACTGTGGCCTACCTTGGCACTTGTTGACATGCATGGAAACTATCCTCGTTACGCTTCTCCTTTCACGGAGTCTTAAGTCTGTTTATTCGATGCTTGTCCCCTCGCAGCGGTTTGGATGAGCCCACTGCATAATGACTCGCTAGTAGGTATAAACAAGACATGACCAACGACATAGATACTTCAAGCTGTGGCCTTCAGGACTGCGGACGAGGCTTGCAACGCCCTTGGGACGGTGTGGCACAGACTTCCTAAATCCCACTTCGGACAGACATCGCGGGGTGAACAAAGTGTGTCGAACTGCCACTTCGGGAGGTACACTTCGATCCACCTTGAACTGAGTTTGGCTCGACAGCAACACCATTACTACTGACAGCCAGTCGTACGTTTCAACATAATGATACATGCACAGGTAATCGTGGCCCCAACTCTTCTTGACCTTGAACCACAGGCTGCAGACTCGACGCGACTTTATCAATAACCCTTACGCCTGTGTCTTTGAACTCGAACCGGCGAACCAAAGTAAGGAGGATAACCTTGAATTGAAGTATAGCTTCGGATCTTGTCAGTAACGTCACCCTGAGATGATGTGTTGGTTTGTCGCACCAAATTTGTACCCTATACAGATTCGAGGGCCATCGCTGAAGGTCAGCATACGCGACCACCCTGTGGAACAAAGATCCTTTGGTGGCAAATCGCCCATCCACCGATCAGGGCGAAACTTCTTGCCGTCACCCCAAACGGAGCACATCGTATTGATAGTTGTGATGGGAATGATTACTGTCTATATGCAGTGGGATCACGATGCCAGTCTTCACGCCAAACTTTATCAAGGAGCGTACCTGCCCGGCGGCTATCGGAATTGAGGATAATTCCTGTCCTTGTTTCCCAGTGATAGGATGGCGCAGGGGCAGTACATCTTCCTTCGACGAAATTCGTTCCATGTATGGCAATGCAGGGTGCAGCCGGAGACTACGATGAGTGAGCATGGGTCACGTTAACGGAAGTGACGCTAAACTTACACTTCCCGAGTCACAGCATCAAGGTACGGGAGTTGCGTTTGCAAGTCATCATATGATGGTGAGCCATGATAAGCCATAACTTCCTCTCTTAGGCGTGTTTGAACGTGTGGGTTGAGAGCGAGTTCCCA